TGCCCAGTTGGGCACCTGCCCTCTTGGCAGCCAGACACCCTCTACTTTTGGGGTTCACCCCACACAGCCCCCTTCCAGGACAGCCAACATACATTCAAACCTGCAAGAGAATCAAAGGTTAATATAACACATCAATACAATGAAACATAATATTGGCATCATGGCCGCTTCAGGCAGCCAAATCCTCCCCTACTAAACATGAGATATGGCAGGGCTATACAAACATCCTTGTCCCTTTGGAGCCATGTCCATAAAGATGCAGGCATCACCTGAGTTCACTATACAATTTTCTGCAGGTATAGTCCTTTTCAAGTTGGGGTGAGTCCTGGGGTTGTGAACTTTTCCACCCACACCGAGTCCCCAGGCTGGAAAGGATGCACAGAGTCTGAGGTGGCACTGGCAGGGCATCTTGAACAAGCTTATGGGTGGCCTGTAATTTCTGTAAGAGATCACGTCCAAGTAAGGGATACAGGCACTCTGGCATGACTAGAAATGAATGAGTTACTGTGTTCTTTTTGAGGTCCACAGTCCTCTTTGATGTCCAAGGAAAAAAGGCAGTTTGTCCAGTGGCTCCTAGAACTGGTGTCTTTTTAGATGTTACTGGTCCCATTGGCTCTGTCAAGACTGAATAGGCTCTCCAGAAATACACCAGGAAACTAACCGGGGGTCCTATTTATCTACAAATACTTTTAAATTTACCTCAGAATTCCAAAATTTCAACCCAACACAGAAATATCAGAGCAAATCAAAGTCTCTAGCAAACAAACAGACAGAAATTTTGTTGGGTGGGCTGATTCCACCTCTGACAGGGAGCAAACACCCTTTGGGAAAAGAACCCAGCGGCCGCTTGGGGCGTTTTGCTATCGGTCAGAGCATTCAGCCTTAAATCAAACACTTTTCTTTTTTTTTCATAGACTTCCATACTTATATGAACAAATATTTATACCTAAGTAGACATAAACATTAAATAAACATTCACGCTTACATCCTTTCAGTGAACAAGTACTTTTACAGTCTTAGGAACTTTGGCAGACAACAGGAACACTGCCCAAGTCCCCCGATGGGGGCCTGACAAGAACAGATTTGGGGTCCTTTGGCTGGGGGGTATAAAGTCTCCATTCTTCCTCTCTCAGCACCGCCAAGGACAGGATCATTGGAGAGGTCTCTTCAGCTAGGCAAGGCTGCGCTGAGCCATCTGGGGCAAAAGTGGTTTCTGCTTTCATTTTGGCTAAAAGGTCTCTGCCCATTAGAGGGACCAGGTCAACTGGCAAACACAGGAATTCGTGAACCACCTGATGGCTGCCTAACTGACATCGGCGGGGGTGGCAGAACAGTCTGCAACTGTGGTACCAGCAGCTCCAATAATGGTGACTTCCTGTCCCGAGAGGGGAGCTACCCTCTGAGTAACTACCGAGTGCTCTGTCCCTGCATCAACCATAAAGTTCAGTCTGGCCCCCGATCCTCATCTCGACCATCAACTCATGGGGGCCCAGCTGGAAAAAGCCCAGTCTGTCCTAGTCAGAGTCAGCTGCTGCCAGTCCAAGGAGGTCTGCCTCAGGCGGCTCCAGCCAACAGCGGCTGGGTGGCTTGACACACGCAGAACTGGACCCAAGGCAGTGAGGTTTGAGCAATTTTAAAATTCCTTAACATACATTTTATCATTCATGTTGCAGGGAGGGACCAGGTTGGCTTCTCCTGAGTAAAAGAACTAATCAAAATAAGGCTTATTTTTCAACTTCATTTGTCCCTGGGTGTGGACACAAATGACACTAATCAGATTGACATAAATGATTTAACCTTTGTTTAGGGAGGTAAATACAAAGCATTTACTCCAAGTGTCATTGGTTTAAGGAAGATAGGATTTCTGCTCAGTTTCCCTATTCTACTTGTCCCAGCTTACTGGTTTATCATGCAATCAATTTTCTTAAAATGTATTCTGGCACAGGAGAAAGTTGTTTTGCTGCACACAGGTAGCTCAACCCCTATATAACTGGGCTTAGATCTCTGCCCAGCAAACTGCAGTCTATAAGTTCAATATGCAGCCTCCGGTTTTTCTAACCCAACCAGGTTTCGGCCAGTCTCTGAGTCAGACTCCTCCTCTCTTGGAGAATTTCAAAGTCCTGATGGCTCCCAGGTCCAGGGAGAGTGCCCTTTTGTTAACCCTTCGGGCCCTGCTTTCTTGCCTTTTTACCAGTTTCCTTTGTGGAAGAGCAGCAACAAGGCCTCTTTCAAGGGAGTGCACTATAAGGGGATATCAGCGCCCCCTGTGAGCCAGCTGCTCCGCCTAGGGTCTCCCAGGGGCCCAGCCAGAGCGTCCTCCAGCAAATCCCAGAAACCGCTGCCCTTTTGCAGTGGTATGGACTCAAGCAGGGGGTTCACTGGATATAGCTGGCAGCGAAGCACTCACTGGCTTCTGCCTGCAGCTGCTCGCGCCCGCAAGCCCTGCCCCACAGCACTCCCAAAGCACGCACCGCACCTTCAGCTCCAGCACCTCGGCGTTCCCCAGCTTAGCCTGCACCTGCACTGGCGGGGGCGCCAGGTGGGGGAGGGAGGTGAGGCAATGCCCCGACCCCTGTCCGCCCACTCAGCAACCCCTGGGCACTGGCCCGCCAGCCTCACCTTGGTGCCTGCCAGCAGCTGCCTCAGCTCCTGTAGGTTCTCGTTGATCCACGCGCGCGCCACTTCTTCTCCACCAGGGGCTTCCAGACCTTGCGATCTCCCCACCTCTCCCAGCGGTCCTTATTCTCTCGGCTTGCATGGTCCCATCTGGGTGCCAGGGGCGACGCCATAACCAGCACCGCCCAAAGAGCCGCAGGTGCACCCAGCACCCTTAGCTACACTGCTGGCAACAGCCCCTCCTTCTTTGACCTGGCTCTCAGGGGCTGAGTCTGCCTAGCAAAACAGTTCTAAATCACTAGGGCGGCTGTAGATTTTAGCTTTGTTCCTCCTCTGCTTTTCTCCTGGGAGTTTAGTTGTTTTTTTAACGTATTAGAATTTTTTATTCTTAGAAACCTTAATCCTTTAATGATTACCAAAAGTGAACATTCAGCAATTTTAGATTAATATTTATGAACACATTTTAAATGTACTTTTAAGATATATCTAGACCTTTTGTGATAAAACTAAGAACAGGTATTGGTCTAATTTAGCATTGGAAGGGTTAAAAAGAATAACCCAGGGCAGAGAAAGACTACTGTGTTTACAGTTACTTTTTGTGACCTTGAAGCTCATTGATAAGACCTGTTAGGTCTGCAGCCAGTAACTTAACTGCCAACACCCCCGCCCCCCTTCTCTCAGTCCAGGCCAATTGTTTTTCCTCACAGAGTCGGCCTGGAAAGATAACGGGTGCATAGGGAGATTTCTTGCAGACAGGAAGCCTGGAGATCACCCGAAATCCAGTTACAGATGCTTTCAGAATCAGTATGAGGGAGGAAGGGAAAGACCAGGTTATGTCCTCTATGAGGATTCTAATAAACAATTGAAAACAGCAAGTCAAACAAAACACATCATAGGCAGGGTAGGGCCAGTAAATCTCTTCATCCTGCGGAGCTGTAAGCCCTTTTTGTTCACCAAAGAGATAAGAAAACCATGAATAACAAGTTCTTTGAAATTTGCTACCTTGTTAATTTGCTAAGCAAACAGTTAACTTGAAAAGACTTCTCTCTTGCTCTTTTATAAGCAATCTCAGAACTAAGCAATCTTGGAACCTAGCCAGCCTTTGTTAAACTTCTTTGGGTTGCAACCTTATACTTTTAAATTAATCCTAGATTTTTAAAATTTTAACCTGATGCAGCAAAATTATACCTCAGAGTAAAGCAATTAAAAGTTCTCTACTGTCTTCCCCTTAAAGCAGGGTTTTTCCTTATGTGTACAGCCAGACAGCACAAAGTAGCTTTCACTTTACAAAGACCAGTTCCAGTCCCCCTTCTCTGTAGTAAATTGGCTAGTCCCACACAAACAAACTTTGTCCAGACTCCATGATGATCGGTGACGAGAGACAGACAAGGGAGGGGGTGACCTGTTTTCACAGATCCTCACTCAGATGCCCGCCTGACCGAAGTTGTGGAGCCACACAAAGGAGAGGAGAGGGCAGGCCCGCTCCCTTCACACACACACACACACTTTCACCAGACATTCATTCAGAGTTTAAACAATCCATTCAATTCCTAACAATTTCCCAATTCCTGAGGGAGCTCTATAGCCTCCCCTAATCTCTTTGAAATGATCAATCATAATACTTAAAGGAGTAGTTTGAGTCTGTCCCATAACATCCGTCCAGTGAGTCCACAAAATTAGACAGAAAAACACAGAAAACAGACAAACAGAGACACCTAAGAACAGCCTTCCGACTCCACGGAAGCAAAACTGAAAACTGGGTGATGGCCATGTGCCAACCAGCGGGAACGACCCGCCTCATCCCAGAGGTTCGAGGGGAACCCACTCCCCTCGTGAGGGGTTTTCACACCCTCCCAGACGGAGGATCGGAGCATCCTCCAAATCCTCCCACCTGAGGTCCACCAGTGAGTCCACCTATATCATTTCGAGCACTACAGATTTCAGAAACGAGCTCGCACAGAACAGAACAGACAACACACAGACACTTACCACGGTCAGTCAGACTCTCTGGAGCGGGGTCCCTCATGGGTCTTGGGGGTCCCGGCGAGCCCCCAAATGTTATGCCCAGATTTCAAGACCCCAAAAGACACCACCAGGGAGTGCCAAGTCCGATGCAAAAGCATAGAGTCTTTTATTCAAGCCCGGGCTTGGTCCCCCTCTGCCTCCATTACTGGATGTGAGAGAGAGCCAGGAGTCCCAAGAGAACAAAAAATTTATAGGGCTTGGAGTCAGGGGGTGGGGGCACACTTGGACCACTATTTGGCCAATTCCGGTTGGTTGAGTGAGGGCCGGGGGCTAGTGACGCAAGGGCAGGGTGCAGTTAGGGTCTGGTTACACAAAGACAGGGGGGTGTTCAGCATACTTTCAGCCTTGAGTTTGTTTTCCCTTGCATTCCTATTGGCTGAGATAAGAGCAGGCTGAGTAACTGAAACATTCTATGGCTTTTGCTGGAAGAGGAGTTAGGAACACAGCTATCAGTCCTGTTCTGTCCTTTCAATTATATCACAAAAAGATGGGTCTCAAGTCATTGAGAAAAAAACATGCTTGGTTATAGAAGATTTACA